GCCCCTCCAGAGGAAGGTACGTGTGTGCACACATTCAAACCTATGAACACTGAGGGGCTCAGAGAGTCCCCGAGCCCACCATGAACCCCAGATTAAGATCCTCAGCACAGCTGCGACCTCCTGAACTCAGGGGTAACTCTGCTGTTCACGTCCAACCTCCTTGTTTCTTGTTCCTTTTTTTCATTTCTCCTTCCTGTTTCCCCTTCCTCCTCTCAGACTGAGCCTTCGACTCACAGACAACATTAGTCTGATGGGAAAATTATTTTCTGCTAGTATCTAAACTAGCCACTCAACATATAACTCCACAATCTTCCACCACTGGCAGGGTTGTTATCTCCCTGTGTATAGTTGTTCCACATAGAAGGTAGGCGGTTCAAAGCCACCAGCTACTCCACAGAAGGAAGATGGGGCAATCTACTTTTGTAAAGTTTTACTGCCTTGTGAAGGAAACTTTCTTTGTTGGTTACCAGGGATGGGGGGGGATTTTTAGATAGGCTGGAAAAGAAAAAAAGACTATGCATATATATACATATGTGCGTACATATGCACATATTTCTGTATTTGTTTAAAAGATTACTCATGGTTAAGGGGGGGAGCTTCTGTTTGTGGGGCATTGACTTGATGCTAATGGTGGTGAAGTATTTTGGAAAAGGACAACAGTAATGGTGGCACCCCATGAAAAACGTCATCAATGTCCCTGAGCTGTCGATGGGGAAGTGTTATGTTGTTGAGTAGCTTATTGTGCATATTTTCACCGCAATAAAAGTAAAATAAAATAAAATAAAAAAGCTAAAGGAAAGAGAAGGAATGAATAAGAAAAAAAAAAAGATTTACTGCCTTGGAAACCCACCGGGGGTAGCTATGAGTGGGGATCGACTCAATGGCACCGGGTTTGGTTTTTTTGGGTATGTGCCCTGGTGGCACAGTGCCTAAGGCAGGTATCTGACAATGGGGAGGCTGCAAGTCAGGCTGAGCCAAACCGAGGCAGGGCTGAGTCTGCAGAGAAGCGTGCCTGTGGCACAGCCAGAAAGCGGCTGTCCTGACTGACGATCTGCACCCGGACTTGTTCCCGCTCCTCAACTGTCACCTGTCACTTCCCTCTTTAACCCCATGAGCGTGAGTGCTGCCTGTGAGGCTGCGTGGCCACAAAGAACAGTAAGGAACACTGGTGGCTTCAGTGGCTGAGGCACTTGGCTGCTAACCAAAAAGGTCAGCGGTTCGAACCCACCAGCCGCTTCACGGAAGAAAGACAGGGCAGTATGCTTCTGTAAAGACTGATAGCCTTGGGAACCCAATGGGGGTCACTACGAGTAGGAATCGACTCGATGGCAGTGGGTTGGGCTGGGTTCAATATGGGATGAGAGTGACAAGATCAATGTGGAAGATTAGAGAGGAACAATGACGCAAGTAAGATGCAAAGGAAAAAAGACAAGGCAGAGGAACCAGAAGGAAAGACCAGACAGGAAGCCCGGGGGCACTGGCTGGGCGCTGACGGGGATGGGCGACTCCCAAGAGCAGGGAAGAGCAGGGTGAAAACAGGACCAGCGGGCGAGGGGGGAATGAACGTCCCCACCACCCTGGGGGGGTTGTCACCAATCAACAGCCCCAGGCTGACTGCATGAGGTGGCAGTCAGACATACCCCACCCGCTCTCTGACTAACTCCGACACTTGTCGTCCCTCTCCCAACACTCTCTCCTCTGCTGGGTTAGAAAATTCAGTCCAGTGGCCACACAGAACTCACACATCATACTCACGATAGGGTTTGTCAGGGAAGCAACAGGTTACAGTTCCGGATCAGAAACGACTCGGGATGCCGTCTGTCAACCTGGACAGCCTCTTCGCAGCCAGGCCTCAGACACAGCTGTCTCTGGTCCTTGGCCCCTAGGGTCTCTCGGGCTGGGTCGGCCTCTGCCCTATTCAGGGGAGTGTTCCAAAGGCACCACCCCCACTCTACCCACAAGCCTTGGCCCAGTGGCACTCAGCTCTCTCTCCAGGGCGAGGAAGGCAAGGCCGCCATCCCTCCTCCGGCCAGTCCCCCGTTCTGCTCCTGCCAGGTCTCTGCCACACCTGCCACCTGCCACCTTGCGCCATCTCTGGTACTGACAGCTGTCTCCTGCATCAAGGAGGTTCACAGCACAGGGACCCCGGGTCCAAAGACATGCCTACACCCAGATGCTGCTTTCTGGGTACTGAGGTCCCCCCTTTCTACCACTGACAGGCTCATTTTAAGCCTGGCAGGACGGCAAAACTGACCAATGCCTTCATTTGTGTTACACACGCCGTAACTGCACGGCCCCACCCCCACAAGGGTGCTGGGCACTTTGTTTTGTAACCGACGTGCCCAATGCCCTTGGTGCATAAGCACCGTATTGGCATAGTCCTTGTGGTAATTAAGGTTGTGTGTCAACTTGGCTGGGCCTGGATGAGTGGCTGGGCAGCTGGATGTAGTTACTTCCCATAATGAGATTGGTAATTAACTCTATGGAGAAATCTATTGGGGCAGTTGAGTAGCTGCTTTAGGGATGTGGTCTGCTTACCATAAATCAGAAGCAGCTTCGGGAATGGTCTCTAGCTTATGGCACACTTGAACCTTGCGTGTAGCCGTGTCGTAATTCAGCAGCCTGCCGTGCCCTGCCGATCTTGGGGTCTTTCAATATTCTTGAATTAGTGGCCTGCTGTATTGTTTGGTAACACTGGGACTGTGCCTTGTTACCTGTCAACCTTGGGTTTGTCAGTCTCAGCAACCAGCAGCCATCTGAGTGAAGAAAAGCCACTGGCTTCAGTGGGCTGGGGAGCAGGAGGCAGAGCTGAAGCCCAAGGTCAAGGGGCTAAAGCCTTGCACTTTGAACTCGGACTTAAAGCCTCCGAAACTGTAAGGGATTAAGTCCCTGTTTGTTCAAGCCATTCTATTTGTTGTATAATTCTGTCAGAGCAGGACTAGGCCACCAGAACAGTTCCACCCGATCGTTTAGTGGGCGTTATAAGGCCATGGTGAGAAAGGCCATGTGAAAGGTCCATCGTACCACAGAACAATACTCCAAGGATGTAAGCCATGGCACTGAGCTACACTGGAGACAGCTGCATGACTGTATGTTCTGCTGTGTACATTCCCAACAGCAGCCTAGGAACCACAACAGAAGCTTCTTCACTATGTGCTGGAAGGTGAGCCACCAGGTTGGAAGCAACCACAATATGCAGTGGCCACCACAAAGGACTGGAGCACACAGAGGATAGCGAAGGGGGCGGAACCCGGCGACATTTCCTTCTGTTGTCTGTGGAGTCTCCAAGGGTCAAGATGGTAACTGACAAATACATCTATGTATGTGCAGTTGCTTGCGTGATTCAATGTAACGATCGATAAAGC